TCCTAAAAAGCATGCACGTTCTCCCTGGGTTTTGTATTTGGGGTCATTCCCCTTGTGAATATCCCTCTAGACCAGTGAAGGCCAAACTTTTTGGCAGGTATGCTACAAATAAGCCCTACACCCTCCATGAACACCACTCCCATTGGTTTCATAGAATCATAGAAAATTAGGGTTGGAAGGGACCTCAGGAGGTCACTTAGTCCAAACCCCTGTTCAAAGGAGTACCAGTCGCAACTAAGTCATCCCAGTCAAAGCTCTGTCTAGCCAGGTCTAAAAAACCTCCAAGGATGACGATTCCACAACCTCTCTGGGTAACTTGTTTTACTACCCACCTACTGAGAAAACCCTTCCTAATATCCAACCTAAACTTCCCTTGCTGCAACACTTGACTAATGCTCCTTGTTCTGTCATCGGTCACCACTGAGAGTCTAGCTCCATCCTCTTTTGAAACCCCCTTCAGGTAGTTGAAGGCTGCTATTAAATCCCCTCTCGGTCTTCTCTTCTCCAGATTAAAGAATCCCAGTTCCCTCAGCCTCTCCTTGTAAGTCATGGGCCCCAGCCCCTGAACCATTTTCATTGCCCTTTGCTGGACTCTTTCCAATGTATCCACATTCTTTCTATAGTGCAGGGTTCAAAACTGAACACAGTGCTCCAGATGTGCCCAGCCAGTCAGCCCCCAGCCTGTACTGGTACATGGGATTGCTTGGCCCAAAGTGCAGGACTTTGCACTTGTCCTTGATGAACCTCATGAGATTCCTTTTGGACCAATCCTCCAATATGTCTAGATCACTGAATCCTAGTCCTACCCTCCAGCATATCTACTACTCCCCCAGCTTGGTGTCATCGGTAAGACTTGTTGAGGGTGCACTCTATGTCACTGTCCAGGTTGTTGATGAAAATATTGAACAAAACTGGCCCCAGGACCCCGGGGCACTCCACTTGATACCACCTGCCAACTAGACATTGAACCATTGATTACTACTGTCTTAGCCTCAGTGCTCCAGCTAGTTTTCTATCCACATTCACTCCATTCATCCAGCCCATACTTCCTTCTCTTGCCTGCAAGAATGTTGCAGGAGACCATATCAAAAGTCTTGCCATAATCAAGGTACACAACATCCACTGGTCTCCCCACATGCACAGAGCCAGTCATCTCATCAAAGAAGGCAATCAGGCTGGTCAGGCATGACTTGCCCTTGGTGAATCCATGCTGACTGGTTAGGGATCCGGGTTTTCCGTTTCCCACAGAAAAACGGAGAAAACAATGGATTTCCCCTTTTAACACAAAAATACACAGATTCTCCACTTTTGCTAAGAGCTCTGCAGACTGGCAGAGTTCCAGCCCGCAAGAGCTGATTGCAGAAAGAACAGGAAACCACCAGCCCTGCCCAGAGGGGAAGGAAGAGGGGGAGGACAGGGCCTGAGCTTCTGAGTCAGCCAAGGCTGGGTTCAGGCTCAAGCTGAGGTTCACCCTTCACCCCTGGAGCCTGGATGTAAGTGGGGCTTGGGGGCTGTGGGGCAGGGCTAGGGGGGAAGGTGGCTGGGGCTGACGGAGTGGGGAGAAAACCAGACACCACCAGCATCCTGCCCAGAGGGGAAGGAAGAGGGGGAGGACAGGGCCTGAGCTTCTGAGTCAGCCAAGGCTGGGTTCAGGCTCAAGCTGAGGTTCACCCTTCACCCCTGGAGCCTGGATGTAAGTGGGGCTTGGGGGCTGTGGGGCAGGGCTAGGGGGGAAGGTGGCTGGGGCTGACGGAGTGGGGAGAAAACCAGACACCACCAGCATCCTGCAGCACCTCCTGCCCCCGACCTCAGCCCGCTCCCAGGAGTAGG